CATTACACACTCTATTTAACACTCTCTCAGTTCCTGTTCAGATCGCCGTGTATTGTTCTGCGTTTATCACTCATCTAGCGATAGCTGTATTACCGAGCCTAGTGTCTTGCTTGCCTTGTCTTGCCTTGTCTGTTTCCCCGTGTTCTGATCACTGCCTTTGTTCCTGGATTATCCCTCGAGTCTCGCCCAATTGGATACTGTTCGCCCCTGCCTGGACCTTTGCCTTGTACCTGGATTATCCCTCTTGCCTTGCCATCAATATACCTGTTTGCCACTTTCTGACCTATGCCTGTTTTTGACCACGTCTCTTGTGAATAAAGCCTTGCAGATGGATCCGCACGCTTCCTGTGATCTTTTTTTTTTATGTTGTCATTTATGTTTTAATGTTAAGTGTGATAACATGCTCTTGATTTGTATTAGATTTTTTTTCTTTTAAATATCTTAAGTTGTTAAAAACTCCAGATTGTGTAAATCATAATATTTATATTTAAGTGTATTGTATTTATACAATTTTATATTGTCATTAATTCTTTTATATTTTTATCATTTTGTATTGTCTTAAGTGTTCCCAAGTTGTTAAAAATGTTATTTTTTTAATAAAAGCTGTATATTGAATTTGTTTGGATGGATTGCCATTTTGTTTTCTATTAGACCTATATATGTAGTCAATTAATAGCGGTCTATTTGATGACTAGTCTATTCTTGGGCTATGATTAGACGTCTATTAAATTTTCACTGACAGCCCAAATTTAGCCTTGTTTTAACCTAGACGTCTGGGCTGTGTTTGGATGGCAAATAGACGTCTTTTAAACGCAAAATTGCTTGCTGGGTAGTGTCCCTTACAGGAAATTACGTCACATTTCTGAAGTGCGAAACAAACCACACGAGCCAAATAGGGGTTATGTGCAACAGATTTCTTTATTCTGTTAACCTGGTCTTGCCGCTTCCGGTTCAAGCGTTTTGCATATGCTTCCTTAAAGGGGTCATATGATCATTATTTTTTTAAAGATCATTATTTTGTGTATTTGGTGTAACAGAATATGTTGACATGCTTTAATGTTCAAAAAACACATTATTTTACAAATACTGTACATTATTGTAGGTCCTATATGCCCCGCCTCTCTCAAACGCTTCGTTTTCTACAAAGTCGTAGATATGTGGGGGCGTGTTAGAATGAGCCGTTTTAGGGGGGCGTGGCAGAGTCTTAACTTTGATAAAGAATATCTCTTTGGTTTTGAGACTTTAGTCTTTGCAACTTCAGGGATCTTATCTATGCACAATCAGCTTGTAACACTCCAAAGAGAAAGGAAAACTTGAAATCGCATCATATGACCCCTTTAAATATGAAGCTGTTTTACTCAAGATGCCTTCAAAGTAGATACCAAAATGATCATAACCAATGTCCATCACATATCCGGACTGATATCTATTTTTATTTATTTTTTTATTATTTTCACTAACATTTAGATATAAAAATTTAATAAAACGTCAACCATAAAAACAGCTAGCTAGTTTAACTGATTATCTTAAAATATATTATTTATTACGGCTGTTAACACGTTCACTGGCAAACGAAAGCGATGAGCCCTGTTTTCCGGGTTTGCTCAGGTGATGTTCGACATATACCTTATATAATGACACGTGATAGAAGATTTGAAAAGACGAAAATTTATTTTAGTATCAATACACATAGCTAGACAGGTGATGAACACATCTAGTTAACATTTATAATTAATATTTGTCTGATATGTTGTAAGATCATTTAAAAGAACGATGTCCCGCCTGTTGTTGATTAATGCCAGCGGTGATGTTCTACAATAGACTCTTTTCACAATGACTTCAGCTAACTTCCGCTTTTCCGCAAAGAAGTGTATCTGTACTTCCGTTATACCTTTACACCGGAGACTTCTCGGGAAAATGTGGGAAAATCTTGAAATATAAAGGTGTATGTTAATTAGTCAAATTAATGTACTTACAGTCAGGTTCTTTTGTGAATTATATTCTACATCTGCTTTTGATTGTTGGGAGGCTAGCTTGCAGCAACTGTAGCAATATTACAGACTTGCTTTCAGATTTGTATGATAACGATTATGTATGCACACGAAATATATACTTAAAGCCATTTCACTTGTTATTATGGTTTATGTCATTCCCTGGATAATTTATTTGATTTATTTCTGTTGTCGCTGTGATGACTGTAATAGTGAGTACACTGTAAATTCTCTGTGTATATTTACATGCAAGTGTAGTTATTTTGCAATAAAAAAGACAAACGTCATGAATTTTTTAATATAGGAAAAAATTACATGGACACAAGTCATATTTTTAATATTAAATATTCTCATCCATAAATCTGAAAATAAACCCAATATTATCCAGTAAAGATTAAAATGGCTTTATATTGAAACAATGCAAGAAGGACCGCCGTCAAGCCGTGTGTGCTGCAGATTGTGATGTAGGTGGAAAGACAATTCATTTAATTTTCATAAGTAAGGATTTCATATTATATTTTATGTATTCAGTACAGTATGGAGCACTGGAAAATATCCTTCAAAACTGTGTGCAAATATCCATAAAATTAATTGATATGAAGATAAATCTTGCTGTAATCTGGCCTGTTATTTGCAGCATTTTATCCTGATATTGTATTAATCTCTATTTTCTTTGGGCGCTGCGAGTCCTTCCTCCCTGCAAAATAATTCAACACAAAAGCATTTACTGAGCTCTCATGAGTGCAGATTGTTCCAGATCAATGTGAATCATCTGAAAAACTCACCAGCTCTTCTTGCACAGATGATCTGAAGAAGAATCACAGTAGGAGCAGCAAACACTGCAGTCTTAAGAATGATCAAAATATCTGCAGGAAAGATGGACAGATGAACAGAATCAAGACTTTGTAAATGAAATCAAAGGTATAAAATGATGATCAGTTCTTGACAAAGCACTGCAGATTGACTGTTTCAGCATTAATGAACTCTCGTACCTCTGAATAATGATCCAACAGTCTTACAGACTTCAGTTTCTGCTGGATCTGTGATCATATACTGTATGTTAGTTCAGTTCAAACATAATGAACATAGAAACAAAACATCTTAATACTTAAGCTTTGCATCACAAAAATGATAAACATGTACCAGACCTGTGTGAACTATATTAATAAATGAAAATGTCTCAGTTACGTATGTAAA